CAATTACTGTATTGTAGTATGATGAATATAAATTCCCAATCCTGCATATATCCGCATGCCGCTGCAAATTTCGTACACCAAATGAGCTTATTCTTCAAAATTTTTAAAAAGACGAGTTAAATATTAAATTATACTAAGAATTAATTATATTATAAGGTATTTTCTCGTTCCTTCCAGCATATCTTCGCGGTGTAACGATAGCACACTTGGCGCGTAATTGGAAGATCCAAGTTCGAGTCCCGACTAGGGCAATGCACATTTTTCATGTCTCTAACATAAAAAAAAATTCTAATGAGTTTACAGTGGCACCCGAACAAAACGATAATAGACAATAGACAATAAATCGTCACCACCTGGATTTAGCGATCGGGCCCCACATTACCCAGCTGCCCTTTAAAAGGGGGAGTATATAAGGTATTTTCTCCATCCCTGCAGCATGCCTTGGTGGTGTAACGGTAGTACACTCAACGCGTATTCCAGAGGTTCAGATTCGCGCGAGGGCATGGCTCATTTTTTGTCTTCTGCTTCGAAATAACCTAATGACTCTACAATATATTAAGGGGACTCGTACACCTTAAACCCCTCATGAGCTTCGAATATGTGACTGTTGCAAGAATTGGGATATTTTATTTATTTTAAAAGCAATTACTTCCAACTTTTTACAGCTGACTACATAATACAGCTGCTTTGGAAACTAGTAACCAGAAAGTTTGTGTTGCCACAAATATTCTTGTAATTTAATCCTCTTTGTGACAAAATATTTCGCCCTGTTTCCACCTTGAGCGCATGATATTTTAAAAATGGCTAACGGTACATACTTGAAATTGGATGGAATTCTTTATATGGGCACTATTTTTTAACTGAATCAACAATCTGATGAATATTTTAATATTGAAAATTTTTATGGACGAAAACATTACAAAATTAGTTAATAAAATACATTTTATAAACTCAACTCAAAATAAAATAAAAATTTAACACGAAATTTTTAGAATTTTAGGTTCACAGTAGTTTCCAAATGTTATAAAAGCTATATATTAAATATGGAATTAAATTATGAAACAGAATGTTTTAAACTGTGCGCGCAAGTTGGAAACATGACGGAAAATGTTGTCACAAACCGGATTAAATTATAAAAATATTTTTGGCAATACAAACTTTCTGATTACTATTTCAGAACGCAGCTATATTATGTAGTCAGCTGTAAAAAGGTGAAAGTAATTGCTTTTAAAGTAAATTATCCCATATCTTGCAGCAACAGTCACCTATTCGAACATCTTACGGGTTTTAAGGTGTATGAGTCCCCTTAAGCAACTTAAGCATTAAATTACATATTATTGTAAATATTTATTGTTTTTTATTGTATTTTTCATTTGCTGTATCTTTGTAATATTTTATATTCTTTCATTTATTTTATTTATTTATTTATTGTTTACGGAACGGTAATTTTATGGTTTATTTTACGTTTAATCTAATTTGTGACCACCTGTTTTGCATTTAATCAATTAGAATTCAAAAAATAGACAGTTTCTTATCTAAAGGGGTGCCCCCCAGGGGACGAGCGGGAAATTCACTGAACAATGGTAGTTCGGTTCGAATCCCGTGCACGGGCTGGCTCGTGGGTGTTTTTATGTTTTTCACCATGTGTCACGTATTTGCGAGCCAGTTTTCTTTAGAAAGCCCTCCACGAAGGCATCCTTTCCTTTAGGCAGATAGCCGTCGAGTGCTTAGCCATAATTAAATAAATCAAACCAAACCAAACTTACCCAAAGGGCCTTGGCGACATTTGGCGATTTTCGCCAGCTTGGCGACATTTGACGATTTTTCGACAGCTTGTCGACTTTCTATATTGCTTATTTTCCATACTAAATTTTTCATTTCTTCCGGCTTATGTGGACTCATCATTTAAAGAAACTTCAAGGATTCCGTAGCCCGCAGTAACATTACTGAACGCTAAATTACGTATTACTAAGTACTAAATTAAATGTCATTAAATATCAAATTATAGCTTATTTTTAATCTTATTTTCATTCTCAAACACCCTGCACCAGCCTATGAGTGGTTAATGGTGTGTGGTGTGGTGTATTTAATTATGGCAAAGCACACTAGGGCTATCTGCCTAAGGGGAGGGATGCCTTTCGTGGAGGACTTTCTAAGGGAAACTGGCTCGTATACACGTTACACATGGGGAAAACCACGAAAACGCCCATGCAGCCAGCCTGTTCGCGGGATTCGAACCTCGGACCGAACTACCAGTGTTCAGCGACTTTACCGGTCGGCCGCTGGCGGACAGTGGTTAATGGAGGTCAACTGCATAAATAAATCATAGGGCCACTGGTTCGAATCCCGAGTAATGCAAAGACGTTTGCGAGTGCAGCTTCTTTGCTGAATATAGGTACTTAAAATCTCTCAGTCAGATAGACTCGTAGAGAGGTTGGCGGTTGGGGTGGAACGTAGTGAACTCGGTTTTGAATCTTGAAAACGTTTGTAGTATCATTCTGGAATATGAATTTGAATGTAGTATCATTATATTCATATTCCAGAATACTACTTGAATGCAGTATCATTCTAGAATATGGATTCAAAAACTCATGGATCTGAAATTCGATTTCACAGGCTGGTGGCAAGAGTAAGGTATACAAGACCTTCAGCTTCCATCCCCATTAGTGTTCTCAGTTAAAACAGAAAGGCATGAGTCAGTCGTGAATTTTGCCGAAATTAAATAATCCAAATACAAGTCAGAACCTGCATGTTGATGTAAGTTTTCAATTTTTCGTCGAATAACGTACCATGTCTTGCCGCCCAGCCGGTATAGTAGTGACCCTGACTACCGTAACGCACCGGAGATTCCCGGAGAAAGCATGGATGTTTGTCGATGTATAGTGTCTGTGTGGCATAGGGGCACTCTAAATACTTGGCGAGCCGAAAGTACTATCGAGAGGTTGATGGTAGATGAAGAAGCGGGTGGCAGACCCTTGTAATTATCTGCCCCTTCATAGGAGGCAAAGGTGGCCTACCTATTAGGTGTCTCCATAATAAAGAGTCACCACATCTGGCCTTAGGAGTGGCCGATGCCGGCATAGGCAGGTGCCTGCCATTAGATGGCCATCACTTCCGGCCCTTGTAGATGCGCAAGGTTAATGGCTATTAAATAAAGTGCCAGGCCATTTAAAAATATGCCACGTCATTATTTTTGTTTGCTTCGAGATTGTTTTATAACAATACACGACAGCCAACATTTTCAACTTTTAGTTTTCACATAACCTACAATTTGTTTTCTTATTGAAATTTCTTAGTTATTTGCCTTTCTCCTTTTTATTACGTCAACCTCCTCTTTTTGAGTGTTTTAAAATTATTCCGCTAGCTTAGCGTTTAGAAAAAGGATAAAGGCTACTTAAATACCAAAAGGCACGATTAAAAAACTACACAAAATTTTTATTCACTTAATAATCGTATCCAGGTTTATTGAAATTCTAAGTAAAATCAAACTTTCACAAGGAAGGTAATATAATTATAAAAAAAAAAAAAAAAAAAAAAAAAAAAAAATAGGCCCAGCATTGGCGAGTTGCAAGTCGGTGAACATTGGTAGATCGGTCCGAGGTTCAAATCCTGCGAACGGGCTGGCTGCATGGCTGTTTTCGTGGTTTTTCTCATGTGTAGCGTATATACCAGCCACTTAGAAAGTCCTCCACGAAGGCATCCCTCCACTTAGGCAGATAGCCCTCGAGGCTTTGCCGTAATCTCAAAAAACCAAATTAAAAAAAATTGAGAGATGGTTTTAATATTTGTTTTCGTTTCAAAAAGTTTTCATAGCTTTACGGAAAGAAAGTAGAGAAAGGATACGTAAAAACGGGGCGGGGGGACTGCATATAATTACGTATGATGGCAGAAACTTTATTCAAAAAAATATATTCCTTTTTACCTCCTCGGTATTTTAATTAACGTTAAATTACTTTCCTTTCGATATGACTGCATATCTTTGGTTTAATACGAGGAATACATTTGGCTTGGTGTCCGCCGATAACATCGCGGCAAAAACATCGCGGACGAAAACGTCGCGGAGAAAACAACGCAAGGCGAAAACGTCGTGCTACAAAACATCGTGGGAGAAAACATCGCAAAGAAAAAACATCGCAGTTCTAAAACATCGTGGTACAAAACATCGTCGTCGAAAATAAAGCGGTTCAAAAACTTCGCAGTTTAAAAACATCGCCGTCGAAAATATCGTGGTAAAAAATAAAGTATCTACAAATCATCGCATGACGATAACATCGCAGACATGCTTTTTTCAGGCTTTAATAACTGTAAATGGATATTCCCATAATGATTTGTGAGCACAAGATGTAAAGAAGGATAATTTTTACTTTCATATTTTTTATTAAATATTAAATTTTTGCTGAGAAAATAAGAAGGAAACTTAAGCATAGAAATTAATGCAACTTATAGCACTTAATAGAATTTTAATCCTACATAGTTAACTAACAAAGACCATTAATAAATCCTTTTTATAAAGTTTTTACTGGTAAATTTTCATAAAAAGTATAATCTATTAAGTTGCATTTAATTTTCTATGCTTAAGTTTCCTTCTTATTTTTTCAGAAAAAATTTATGAGTTAATAAAAAAACGTGAAAATAAAAATTATCCTTCCTTACATCACTTGTGCTCACAAATCATTATGGGAATATCCATTTACAGTTATTAAAGCCTGAAAAAAGGATGTCTGCGATGTTATCGTCATGCGATGATTTGTAGATACTTTATTTTTTACCACGATATTTTCGACGGCGATGTTTTTAAACTGCGAAGTTTTTGAACCGCTTTATTTTCGACGACGATGTTTTGTACCACGATGTTTTAAAACTGCGATGTTTTCTCTTTGCGATGTTTTCTCCCACGATGTTTTGTAGCACGACGTTTTCGCCTTGCGTTGTTTTCTCCGCGACGTTTTCGTCCGCGATGTTTTTGCCGCGATGTTTTTGGTTGTAACCATTTGGCTTACCTGTGGCGCGTATGTAGACACCAGAAATGCGTTCGTTCTTCCAGGGTGATCGTAATCGTGCATTGCAGTTGCTGTGTATAAAGCCATGAGCTCCAGAGCTGGGTAATTGGCTCCCATTACCCCATACGTCACTTCCGCAGCAAAACTGGGCCTGTGCATTGGTACGCTACTGCTGCTTGTTGAATCTGAGGAGAAATAAAGCAAAAATAAACGATAAAATCAAAATTCTTACATAGTTTTCACATCTTTAAGATTGCATATAAGGATGGATAAATGCCTTACGGGTTACTTAATGGACAGGCAAACGTAAAAACGTAACCATGCTGCTTGATGCGCTCAAAGCCACAGAAATCTGATCGGTAGCAAATCAAAGATAACAACGTGGTCTTCCTGCAGGCAGAACACGCTCTCTAAATTCACTTTACAAAAACCTTTCCTTAAGTACTAACTTCTTTCTACCTGAATTTAATTACACGCGCGCTGACTCATTTACATTCTGCTAAGAAAGCGTAGGTTGAAAGCGACAGTAATAGGAAAGGTTATTTCGAACTAAAATAAACTGTTAAATAACTTAAATAAATGGCCACAATGTTCTGAATAAAACATAATTTAAGTGTCCATCTCGACTTACAAACATACAAGCAAATTCGAAAAAACTCAGTTTTCGACAACTGTATTCAATAACTCGGGGCGTATAGAAGAAATGCAGCGTTCGATGTTTATTCTTAACGCCGTCCGTCCAGACGGTATAGTGGTTAGGGGAGGTAAACCGCTGAGTTGGCTTCCGACCCAGGTATAGATATATCCATGCAGAATTGGTTACCAACTCGGCGAGAGTCAACCACTAGCTATCAGGTCGCAGTCCCGGCTGAGCAAACGACATTTATAAAATGCAAAAAAGAGATATACATGTGCATACGAGGCACTTGAAGAAGAGTATAACAATGTACAAAGAAATATATACATGCGCATACAAGGCGCTTGAAGAAGAGTACAATCAAAATATATGTATATACATATATATATATACAAACTCATATACAGATATATACACACTTACATACATAGATATTCCGAAACAAATAAAAGTATATATACTCTCACTCATATTGATATATACACCCATACATATACGTTATCATGATAGTTAAAGTTGACAAGAAGCATGCCATTGAGGTACGCGTGATCCTTAGTATAAATTAGGTACCATAAATAAAAGATATAAACACGTACAGATACATTACAGCATTCAGATACAGTACGAACTTTATGTATGAGAACCTCGCACAGCATAAATACAAAATTACATATTGAACATACATATCACATACTCTGTTGCTGACATATTGAACTGGCTTTTGTAGACTTTTATGACTACTATCATCCAGTGTCAGCAGAGTAATTGCTAGTACAGTAGTTAGTTGTTGTTTTCAGTTTCCGCTGGGCAACTCTGTTACTTTGTAGAGACTGGAACCAATTTGGCCAGAATCTGGCTCCTGGTTGCTTGAGGCTGTTAAGTGCTGTGTGTGGGCAGGAGAACACAAAATTATCAGGATGACCCTCCTCCCCACATTCACAGTTACCATTCTCTCTCAAGCCAAAGCGGTAGAGGTATGAAGGAAAGGGCCCATGACCAGTGAGGAAATGGTTACAGCCGAAAACATCGCGGCAAAAATATCGCGGACGAAAACGTCGCAGAGAAAACAACGCAAGGCGAAAACTTCGTCCTACAAAACATCGTGGGAGAAAATATCGCAGTTCTAAAACATCGTGGTATAAAACATCGTCGTCGAAAATAAAGCGGTTCAAAAACTTCGCAGTTTAAAAACATCGCCGTCGAAAATATCGTGGTAAAAAATAAAGTATCTACAAATCATCGCATGACGATAACATCGCAGACATGCTTTTTTCAGGTTTTAATAATTGTAAATGGATATTCCCATAATGATTTGTGAACGCAAGTGATGTAAGGAAGGATAATTTTTACGTTCACATTTTTTATTAACTAATAAATTTTTGCTGTAAAAAATAAGAAGGAAACTTAAGCATAGAAAATTAAATGCAACTTAATAGATTATACTTTTTATGAAAAATTACCAGTAAAAACTTTATAAAAAATGATTTATTAATGGTCTTTGTTAGTTAACTATGTCGGTTTAAAATTCTATTAAGTGCTATAAGTTGCATTAATTTTCTATGCTTAAGTTTCCTTCTTATTTTCTCAGCAAAAATTTAATATTTAATAAAAAATATGAAAGTAAAAATTATCCTTCTTTACATCTTGCGCTCACAAATCATTATGGGAATATCCATTTACAGTTATTAAAGCCTGAAAAAAAAAAAAAAAAAAAAAAAAAAAAAAAAGCATGTCTGCGATGTTATCGTCATGCGATGATTTGTAGATACTTTATTTTTTACCACGATATTTTCGACGGCGATGTTTTAAACTGCGAAGTTTTTGAACCGCTTTTTTTCGACGACGTTTTGTACCACAATGTTTTAGAACTGCGATGTTTTCTCTTTGCGATGTTTTCTCCCACGATGTTTTGTAGCACGACGTTTTCGCCTTGCGTTGTTTTCTCCGCGACGTTTTCGTCCGCGATGTTTTTGCCGCGATGTTATCGGCGGACACCGAGGAAATACGTCACGTAATTGCTATTAGTTTGGATTGTTGTCTTGACCTTGGGAATGAGATTGTAAACACGTCTCCCTTGGAGGCCTGATCCCAACGTTCTTGCCATATTCTTAGGAGCTGATGGAATGTCTGACTCTTGAAGTCCGAGATTGGCCTAAAGGTCGGGACTTCTCGCAAAGTGGATGAATTCTCTGCTTCCTTTGCGACAACATCTGCTCTCTCATTTCCTTCTATTTCCGTATGAGCGGGAACCCCTGCGATACTGGAGGCCCGGGTTTGAATCCCAGAGAAGGCATGGATGTAAAATTGTCTGTCCCTACATAGGAGGTAACGGTGGCCTCCTATTAGGTTTCTTAGCAGTGGCCAATGCCGTTATAAGCAAGTGCTCGACAGTATTGAACTAGCTTTTGTACAAGAGTGTAGCAAGTGGCACTGTCTTATTGGAAATACGTGCTCTCCAAATGTGGCTAGAAATATTCATCATCTTCAATCCGATTGCTCAACGGTTACTGCAATTGCATTTCCTACCCCGTTTTAGCAAGAAAATGGTGCCACTGAAAATGATGGATGTTCATGCCACTATGGCATGAACCGTACTATAACATGACCTTTTCTGAATGCAAGAGCTTCTCGTGCATCTCTTACGGATTGTTTTCTCTCCATAGACGACAGTTTTGTTTCTTAACGTATCCCATCAAGCAGAAAAGAACTTCATCTGAAAACATAATTTCCCCCCCCCAAATTTACGTTCTTGAAACTCGTAATTAACCTCGTAAGCAGACTAAACACAAATAAAAATTAGCGACAGCGATAATATTTTCAGACTGGTTTCCACGTCGTTTAAATTCATATCATTCCTGTTGGGATACCCTTTACAAAAGACAAAGATATCAAGGTTTTAGAAAAAGCCACTCAGACAGTATAGGGGAACCTAAGAGTTCGAATCCCGAAGAAGACATGGATGTTTGTAAATGTATAGTATCTTTGCGGCATGGGGGCGCTCTAAATATATGTTAAGCCAAAAGTCCTCTCGAGAGGTTGGAGGTTGGGGTAGAGGAGTGGGAGGCCCACGGATCCCTTCCTCCCGGTGGCCTCACCATCAAAATTGGAGGCAGAACTGATCAATGTCGTGCTGTCACCTGTATGTTGGTCAAGGCTCTTGCCAAAGATAGGCGCAATCCTTGCCAAGATGAATCTGATTCGCTTGTTCTGATTTTACTGTCAGACATGTGAGATAAATCACAACGCACAACACAACAGGGTTTAGAAGATCTACAACATTTCATAATCCTTTTCCTTTACAATGCAGAGCAGACATTATGATTCAACATGCACTGTAGGAATTAGGCTATCAGTGGTCGAAACGATAAATTGGTGTAGTATTGTGATAGTATACGGCTTTAAAGTAGGCCTTTAAAGGCTTTTCCGATTCCCCCTCCCTCAACTGTGATCGTTTCTGCATGCTTTCGGGGTATAATGGTAGCACACTCGACGCGTATTCGAGGTGTCCAGGTTCGAGTCCTGGCGAGGGCATTGCTCATTTTTCACTTCTCCAGTATCAAGAAATCCTAATGACTCTCAATGGTTAAAGCATTCAGTTAGTCGCACATACAGGAAGATACCTACACGCCTTAGTTACCCTCTGGTTTCTGTTTCTTTGAAGTTACTGAATCAATTTTACGACAGCAGCCAATAAATAACGTTTGAGAAGGACACTCTCCACAACCTAAGAAGCCTAAGAAAAATCTTAAAAAAAGTCTTTATCGATTTAATATTGCGTTGCGAAAAAACTGCAAAGAAAGGGAAAGAAAATGAGAAAACAAAATTAGCTTCCTTTAACATTTTCAAAAAGATTAATCCCATGAATTCCGATAGTTCTTTCTGAGACGACTTTGTTTTTGATCTAGCTTTCTGTTCGGATCCAAATCAATTAATGATTAGAAGTCTCTTAACTTCTTTAGTTCTGTATCATGTACCACTCACTAGCGGAAAAAATGTTCAAAGTCTCAGGTAACGGATTCTAAAGCTCCCTTGAGAATGGAACTTTTTATTTCGACTTTTGCCTTTTTTTGTTTTTTGAATAAACTAAGTTTTCTTTTATTCTAGAATAAAAAATGAATAAGATAAATAATAGTAGTAGCTTTTACAGAATGTAGAAAATCTAAATGGGGATACAATGCACTAAAATCTTTGAGAAATAGTTTTAAATTTTATAAAATAGTTGATAAATTAAAAAAATTAAGTAAAAACAGTCCTAGATTGGGGTTGGTTTTGAATAAAAATGTATATTAAAATTTTTTAACTTTTTATATTTTTAAAATTTTAATGTAAATTTTTTTATTAAATTAAAATTAAATTTTTAATTTAAAATAAATTTTATAACTTTAATTTAAAAAAAATTGTTGACCTAATTAGGAATTGAGTTTAAAAAATGTTTTTTTAATATTATTTGTTTCAGAAATTCAGTTTAATTTTTTTTTTTGACTTCTGAAAGAAGGAATACGCCACCCCTAACATCGATAAGGTTTTACTCAAAATCAGAACCAATCT